CAAGACATAAGAAGCCATCTTGTGATGCATGAAAATGTAGGACACAATTTTAAAAGATTAGCTTTTCGGATTGCAGAACGCAAGAATACTGCAAGGCACCTTTTCTTTCACCTCCCGCTGTGAGTGGTGTCTACAGGGTTTGCATTGTCTCCACAGTTGGGGAGCAGCTTCACAGCAAGATGGGCAAGTGCCATCACCTGGCTGGGGTCTGGATTAGCAGAGTTAGAATGCAAGAAAATGCTGGGTTCTGGGTGGGGAGAACGTTTTGTTGAAGTGTCTTCCAAATCTGCTTAAATTCTCCATATTGAAAATTTGAGATAGTCGGTAAATTCTCGGTGGCAACCTAGAATTGTGTCTGTGCTGGTTTCAACAACATTTTTTTAGCAATTTGGGAGAAAAAAGTTAGCACCCAGCAGTTTAAAACGTCAAATTACTTCTTGGTTTCACAGAATATACAAATGAAGCAGAACCCCTTTTGCTCAGGGCTTGCTCCTCCGTGCGAGGAGATTTTCAAAAGACTGTTCTTTGCTAGTGTGAAGTCTGCACTGTAGAAACCTCAGAGTCGAGGTGTCAGCGCGAAATTAGTTCCTTGTAAATAGGGTTTTCAAAACAGCAGGTTAGTTAAAGAGACAGGCTGAGCCCTCAGGAGAATACCAGCAGTGAGGGTTTCCATGGATAAAGTCAGGATGCAACCTCCCTCAGCATGCAGTGTGATAAAAACACTACTCAGAAAGCTAGCAAACTAACAAAACAAAAGGCATGGAATCATTTCTGGGAAACTGTGCTTCAGGTGACCTGAAAGTTCCTGTCTGTTTTTAAAATTCTGGAGCCATAACCCTACTTCACCTATCACCCAGTCTTCCCAGCTTGGAAACCTCCGTATCATCTACAGCTTCCTTTCCTTCTTCATTTTCTATGACCAGTTTATTACTACATTTTTCCGGGCTGGCCCTGGAATAGCTCTCAAATCCACCCAGTGTCATTCACACTACAACCAATACTTGAACCTTGTCACCTGGGCTACTTAATAGCTGTTAAAAAGAGATTGTATTAAATGTGCTAATAATAGCAGACCCTTAGGGGAGGCTTGCTATGTGTCTAGAACTGTTCCCAGTGCAGCTGATCCTTACGGCAACGCCACAAGACCAGCACTGTGAGTGCGCGCACCTGTTTTGCAGAGAAGTAAAATGCAGAACAGAAAGATTACGTGGTCGCACTGTGGCAAGGGGCAGATCTGGGACTTGAACTCAAGTGGTTTGTCTCCAGAGTCTGTTCCAATGACTAAGGAATACTGCTTCTGTTTTAATTCAGCCCATTATTATTTTTATTGTTGTTAGTCATTTAACAATACATAATACTGTTACCTGGTTCAAAATCCAAAGCCACGGAAGAATACATATTGAAAAGCTTCTCATCCAAGTTTCCCATTGACTAGGCCCTTGTTCTTTTTTTGGTACTGGGACTCTATCTCAGGCCCTCGCGCTTGCCAGGCACACACTGTACCACTGAACTGTACCCCCGGCCCAGGTGCCGGTTCTGAAGGTATCAGCATTGCCAGTCTTGGGGGCAGCATCCAAGCAGATACTTACAGGTTACTTCCTTCTGTTTTTTTGTCTGCAGTGTATAAACATACTATGCTATACTATCCTATAGTGTAAGATAAATCTGGCACGTTGCCTTTTTCCACTTAACGACACGTATTGAAGAGCATTCCAAATCAGTACAAGAACTTCCTCATTTTTTCTCTTTCTCTTTAAAGACTACAGATGGTCTATATTAGGGATGGACAGTTTTTTCCTGTCAAGGTCCAGACAGTAAATATTTCCAGCTTTGAGGTCCATGTGGTCTCTGTCACATATGTTGCTATTGCATCAGTTTTCCCCCAAAAAAGTAAAAATCATTCTCATCGCATGAGTCTTACAAAAATAGTCTCCAGGCCAGATCAGGCCTGTGGACCAGTGTCTCACCGGAACTCCCTGACCTGGTCTTTTTCTATCTGACTTGTCTCCGCCTTTGTCGAAGAGCCATGCTTCTGTTGCACATTGGGCACTGCTGCTGTGCCCCGGGGCTGAGGGGCAGAGGGCTTGAAGGTCCTTCTCAGTCCCTGCACTACTGCTCCCTCCCTTTCTCCGGCCTGGTGCCCACCCCGTCACATCCTCCCTCAGCTCCTGCAGCCACTTCCCTGCCTCACCCTTGCGATGAACCACGTTTTCCTCCACACCTGTGCTCTGCACCGTGACCCTATGAAACTTCTGCGAGTGTCAGTCTCATGTGGGCACGTCCAGAAGGAAGTCACGTCCCTGTCATGTGCGCCAGGTGTGCCAGCTCTGCCTGGCCTTCTTTCCAGCTGGTGCCACCACACTTGCTATTTTTGTCGCCCTCCCACCCCCACTCCAGCCACATAAATCTTTCTGCTCTACCAAGTGGAGTCCGTCCCTACTTTGTCCCTTGGCCGGCTCCTTCACCAAGTGCACTGTCAGCTCTGAGCTTGCGCGTCTCTCCTCCCTCCTCACCACCGACCCTCTGCACGTGCCCCTTCTCCCATCGCTGCTGTGCCTTGTTCAAGGCCCCGAAGGGGTCTGCAATCATGTGGTCTCAGCCCTGGGAGAACACGGGGCATCGCTAGTACCCAGCACGTTGTCTTGCTGGACACAGATGAGCAATAAATATTTTCTGATCAGATGAACAACTGGAGAATTTAAGCCAGTTTGCCTTTCCTGCTGGATCTCTCCTCACTCCTCAGTTTATAGTTTTCTCTCCAGTTTTGTCATCTTTCTCATCAGTCACTAAACATGAATTTCTTTCTTAAGGCTTTACACCTTGGCACGTGTTGACATTTTGGTTCTTTCTTTTCTGAGTGATAGACGCCTATTCCTCCAACAACACTCAGCTCAGATATTACCTCTTCCGTGGAGTTTCGATACCTTTCCTAGCTAGGATTAATTTCTTCCTTGGGTGGCTCACCGAGGACTTTGTACAGACTTCTATGATCATCCTAGGTCACAGTGCTTACTGGCTGATTTATTCATATCCCGAATGCCAAATATTATGTGTATATGCTATGCTGTTTCATTTTACATACATACAATGAGCTCCTTCAGGGAAGGAGCATCTTGGGTGGGCTTTAAATGGCAAGGAAGTTCATATAGTTAGCACCTAGCTCTACACTAAGTGCTTCATGCATAGTATCTCATTTAACTCTCATAATAACTGCCAGGAGGCAGGTACTGCTAGAGATGAGATGAGAAATGAAACCCAGCAAGTTCGGAACCTCACCCCTGTGCATCTGGAACTCTGCGCTGGGTGGGTCGGCTCTTTGAAGGCATGTTTGCTCACGGGCTCTGAGTGTGCCAGCGTGCTGCACCAATCTGCCCTGTGTTTCCACTTTGAGACCTGGGCACAGCTGCGCTCGAGGAGGGGTCAGCGGACACCATCGCTCCCCTGAGGCAAGGTCTCCCTTGTGGGGGCACAGATGTCCCTGCGCCAGCCAGACGGAGAGGCTGGTGGTGAGGCAGCCCTCTGCACACCTGTGCCCGCCCCAAGGGGAGCCAGGTGTCCTTGGGGCCTGCCTCCCACTGCCACAAGCTGCTTACCCATGTGGGCCGAAGTGACCCTGCCAGCTTCCTCTCCCACTAAGTGCACAGAGGGACCGCAGGGCTTGCGGCAGGAGGGCTCGGGGTCTAAGGCAGAGGGGATGAGGGCAGAGGCAGGTGTGTTTTTTATCCTTTCCTTTATATGAAGACACTTTCTTTACATGTGTGTATTGGGGTGAAGGGCCGCAGGCAACAATGGCATGTTTTCCCTCTAAGAAGTGTAAGATTCCCTCTCCAGCGGAATATTTCCAGGCACAAAGGAGAGCAGAGTGCTGGGTGTGTTGCTGTAGTCTCATTTCTCCTTGTGTGCACCATGTAACTTTTCAGCTCCCTGGGAAAATTCTGGCAAGAGAATGGGTTTCAAACTTTAGGGTACTGCTACTCAAGGTGTGGGTCTTGGATCAGCAGCACTGACCTCACTGGGAAGCCCTGTAGCATCCCAGCCCCCTGAAGACCTAACAACTCCGAATCTGATTTTTAATTTGACCTACACTCTCTGACTCTCTGGGAATTTTTAAGCACCTTTAAGTTTGAGAAGCCCTGACCTTGTGATGCCTGGTTCACTGGCTAAGGAACCACAAATCTAACATACACCACTGTAGTCCTGGCTACTTTCTGAGCAACTATGGTTCAGAGGTAGTGTCACAAGGTGGAGATAATCTAGGTACTATATGAGTCACTCCTGGGATCAAATCTCAGCTCTACTGCCTGTGAGCTAGGTAATACTAATTAACTCTTTCATCTCACTGAGCTCAGCATTCTCAACTATAAAATGGAGATCCCAGTGTCTATACCTACAGGTGTAGGTAGAAAGGTGGTAACATACATGAAGTAACAAATCCGTGGCATGTCGTGAATGTTAAATCTTAGAGGTATTATACCTACCAGGTGGAACCGCGGGTTGGGCTAGAGAGTGTTCATTCCTACCACAGGTAGAGAGAAGGTCAAAGTGTGCTGGCTGTACTTTCTCTACTATTTAACCGTGACCTTAAAGATGCGAAGAATTAGATGGCAGCAGCTGTCACTTTACCATACATCAAAAATCTCCTGGGATCTACCTAAAAATGCTAAAATCTACGTGCTGCTTCCCAGAGGTCTGTTTTATCAGGTGTGAGACACGGCTCAGAGATCTGCATTTTCATCCTTGGGGATCCTGATGCACAAGTCCTCTTATCTCATCTTGGAAACAGCAGCTTAGAGAATATATGAAGTCATCCGATAAATGTAGATCCTGACACAGGCCAGGCCATGGTTTGATACTGGGAAATACACACAAGAAAGAATCAAACCCTACTTGGTGTCCTCGCAGTGGCATCTGGGACTCCAAGGCGGATATAGGGTCTGTGCTGCTATTCGCTGGCATCAGTAAGAACAACAGCCCAGAAGAGCCTTGGAAAAGTGCCTTACCTGGGTCTCTGCTGCTTCAATGCTGTGGGAAAGATTTCCATTCTGTACAGGTTCCGAAGCCTCGCTGGACGGTGTCATTTCAACTTCTGTGCTCGTGCTGTTCGGGAGTTCGATTTTTTCTGTGACATAATTTAAACACACACACACAAAGAAAACAAACAGAATCAATAGGCGGTCAAAGGACATGTTGAAAAGAACATCCAAGATGTTGGGCCAGAGGAAAAGACAGCTGTGTCTGAGAACCGGGATGGTGTTGGGCCAAATGACGGAGGACTTCTACCCTCGTTCCCCATGCCATCCAGCATGCTACGCCCACCTCCATCCCTAGCAGCACTCTGCCTCTACTCTGGTGTGGTGTCACCTATGACCCCCCATAGCTTGCCTTTTTCTGCTCTAGATAAACTAGCCACTCACACAACCAAAGCCAGACCCAGCTTCTACACTGTTGCTTACATCATGGGCCACAACCTTCCTGCAGCAGGATCTTTTGCAGTGCACCCTGGAAAGCATATTGGGTGGGGCAAAATGGTCCCAGGTTTAATCTGCTACTATGAGGCTATCATCTTAGGCAAGTCTCATCCTTCTTCTGTGATCCAGGCCTCTTATCTGAAATGAGTGACTCCCACTGGTTGACCTCCAATGCCCATTACATTTAGCTCTAATTCTCTCCAGCTTTGTGAGTAGGGACCTGGCCAACCAGAAGGCAGGCTTGGCAACCTGGCCCTCCTCAAGAAGCCTGGAGAATGCCACTTAGCACATTGCACACCCGAGTGTCCTGTTGTAGGCGAGGCAAGAAGCATTTGCACAGGGAACAGAGGCCAAAGTCTGTGTCATTACTGACCAAGAGAGAGCAGCTGACCAGAATGAATGCATAGACCAGTGAGTGCAGGATCAGGATTTCCTCTGAGAGCTGAGAAGCCACTTGAGGCCATGGGTAAGGACGGACTCCGTGACACTGGGAATCAGAATGGGCCTGTGTTCACACTTGCTGTCCATTTTGAGCTGTGTGGCTCTGAGGACTGCTGCCACTGCTACTAACAACAAACAACAACAGCAGCAGCAGCACCACAACAGCATGATCAAATGGCATTTCTGCAAGGGTTAAGAAAATGCAGAGAAAGCACTGAGCACAGTGCCTGGTGCAAAGAAAACAAGCAAGGAACAACTATCTGAATTCCCATTATAGTCCCTGCCTTCTGCTAGATGTTTTTTCAGAGCTAAGAAAGCACAGGAGATCAGGGCTCAGCTACTACAGGGATCAGCCAAGACCTCAGTGGGAGGGAAGTAAAAATGTTCCTTGGAACTTCATGCCAATTGTAATAGGCCAGGTCTTGGACTTCAGGGGAGAGCGCAGCTGGGTGGGCCATTGTGGTATTACTCGTCAGTACCACACGTGAGCAGGACCAGCTGCTCAGCTAGGGTCAGAGTGTTTTTTCCTAGCAACTTCAGAAGGACTAAACATTCCTGTGACTAGTGCCTTGGAAAATAATTCGAGAGTTACATAAAAATTGTGTTAGGAGAAGCTAAAATCTGGAAATCGGGGAAATGCTTGTGTTTATGTATTTAGTTGTAGCATATAGAGGCATACATTGATTTAAATATGGGAAGCCATAGAAACTCTGTTGTACTTTTAAAAATATTTTCAACAGTGACAGTGAACTATACGTGATGTTTTGTTGCATGTGGCAATGACAGTTGATTTTGGTATGTTTGATTTAGTTATTTAAACTAAAAAATACTAAGTGAATCAGGGAACACGAAAACCCTCTTTGGGGGAAGTGATACAATCTCAGGATCAATCGGCCATAGCCAAACTTGATCCTAGCAATACAGCATACTGTGTACCAAAGGGAGTCAAGACATCCAAGGGCAGACGTGAACAAGAAGAAACTACCTACCAGACGAAATACCCGACTCAAGTATGCACAGCTTAGCTCATGAAGCACTTTTACATATTGTCTGAGGTCTCACCACCAAAGAAAACATGAAAATAAATTTTGGTTTTACTTTGAAAAGCTCAGATTTTAGGTACATATTATTTTTTAATTACAAAGACACTCACAGACCCAGCAACACTGGAAAGTTCTTTGGAGTTAAGTGTCCTATCTTCCCATAGAAGATTCAATCCAAGCCAAAGATCCCCAATCAGTAGGAGGATGACTGGGACGTAACCCAAGCATCCAATCTTTAATTCAAGCTTCTTCATTCCACACAAGAGAAATAGGGAAGTGGAACAGAACACCTAAGCATCACACGCAAAACGTATCCGAGGTAATAGAATTTGTGGTGTGTCTTCACATTTTTATAATATAAAAGCCAAATATTCTCATTCTAAAAAGTGGGTCCAAGTTCATGGAAGCATAAAGAAGCACACAAAATATGCAAACCATAATCCCAAGTTCAAGATATAACCACTGGCGACATTTTATCTGTCCAGTTTTTCCTTTCATATGCAAATGAAAAAGTTTCCCTAAGACAGAAGTCAGGATGACAGAGAGGGAGAAGCTCTTCTACAGAGTGTCATGTGTTTGGAGTGCAACACTGTTGAATTTTGTCTGCAGATAATTTTAGCTACTTGGGCAATAGCTTCGTTTATAGCATAGATCCAGATTAGGTTAAATTTAGTTTGAATTTAGAATTAGAGAGCTATGTTATAGTTACCAACAGGAGAGCAGGAACACCATGTTCCAAGTTAAAATAAAATACTGAATGTCACAATCTGGTCACACAGGAGTTCTGGAAAAGTCAGCCAAAAGAGACCTGGGTTGATACTGCTGAATTCTTAAGAAAGAAGAGGCAGGCTCAACTCACAGGGATTCTGTCACTCAGTCACCTGAGTGTACGGAATTTAGTGGGTAGGCTGTAAGCAGTGTCACAGGTACAACATCTCGTTACCAGATAAGAATTAGAGAAAGGGGATTCTCGCCCTGGTTTGAACACTGAATGATGTGTGTGTGTGTGTCCCCTGTATGTGGAATCCTTGAAATGGAGTATTGTCTACCCATGAATGGTGATGCCTGGCTGGGAGTTGGTTAGAGCTGCTTCACTGTGCTTTGACTTCTAGTTATTAGAGCCATTCTGTGTCCACTCCTGTCGTGCCCCACTCAGGAAACAGGGACTCATTTCCTGATGTGCAGAAAAGGACAGAAAAGCTGCAGGGCTCTGCGTCTGTCCAGAGCCAGGGCTGCACACACTGGTAGGAGCTCTCTGCCCTCCGCCCCATGTTAGGGAGGGAAGTCTCTTTGTACTCACCGACATGATTGGCAGCGCCGTTCTGCCGCTCGTTCTCGTCCACTTGGCATTTCTTCTTGGCGATCTTGTGTAGAATTGAAGCCTTTTCTCTGAACCTCCCTGAAGCAAGAGAAAGTTGCAGGGAGGAGACCCAGTGAGGAGAAAGATACAGGAAAAGTCTCGAGGCCGGCGGGCAGCACCGGCAGGGCAGGTGTGTGGCTTCTTCGGCTGTGTTTCTCTGGAGCAGGGACCAGGCCACACTGCCCAACCCGAGTGCGCCCCACCATGTGAAAGAATTTTCTTACCTTCCTGGATTCTTTAGCCCAGGTCTCCATTTGAGAACCCGAAGGTGCTGGACCATAGGTGAAAGGTGGGACTTGGAACGCTTCCCTCCCCTCCCAGTTGCTTACAAAGTAAATGAAAGCATCGAGCGTCACTCAGCTCCACTCCCACTCCCGTGATCCAAAGCAGTCTAAGAAGCAGAGCTGCTCTGGAGGCACAGCCATTTGTCTGGAGTTAAACACTCATCCCAGACTGGTGTTTGGCAACGAGCTGGGAAGGAGTCAAGCCCAGGGCCCTTTGCTTCGACTTTGGTTTTCAAGCATTTATCGTAACTAACGTTGCAGTTTCTAAATGAATCCAGAACAGGCACCACAGCCTTCTAGATGAGCCAAGTCAGCTGCAATTAGAGCATCAAGGAGCAACTGATTCCATTTGGAGATTTAGGGCAAAGAATGATCAACTGAGCACAGCAAGTCATGTTGGTGATGAGACCCTTGGGAAAGGTGCTGCAAAAAATACCATTCTCAAATTAATCACTTCGAACAGCTGTGCCACAGGTGCACGGCACTCTCTCTTCTTCGTTATTGACATAATTAATGGGTAAACTCATGCAGCAAGCACAGAAAACAAGCATGCAAAGGTGCAGAGATTAGGGACACACAGCACATTTCTCTTTCTTTTTTAATCCTTGATTTTCTGCCTTGGGATCATTCAAGATACAAAAGATTTTCACTTCAAACTGACTGATTATTGCCTACCTTCAGATATGATGAGTTCCTCAAAATACCTCAGCCCCTACAATTTCCCACTGGTAGTTCCCTCTCAGCATACTGACAGGCTGTCTCATTCTGCCTTTCTAGTTAGAACCAAACCAATCCAAACCAAACCAAACTGAACCAAGCCAAGCCAAACGGAAATGTTTCTTTTGGATGGGACACGGCATGTTGGCATGTACTTCCCCTGCTTCCTCGTGGATGTGGATTACGGAGTATGGTCATAGTGATGACTTGGGCAGCTGCTTCATGGATTCTTTAGCCCAGGTCTCCATTTGAGAACCTGAAGGTGCTGGACCACAGGTGAAAGGTGGGACTTGGAACGCTTCCCTCCCCTCCCAGTTGCTTACAAAATAAGCGACAGCCCGGCCAGCGGTGACAGAGACATAGGATGGGGTCTTTTCTGTTTAGAGCTTCACCAGCTACGAACATGGACACCTTGGTTCATGAAGGCAGCCTGTAGCATGGAAGCACCTCAGTCTAGGCAATGAATGTGCAGCTCAGAGTGTATTCTCAGGGGGCGGGCATTACACACAGAAAACGAGCTCAGCTCATGGCTTGGACTGCACAGGGGATGAGAAAGAAGGATGAGGAGATGGGCCCGGTGGCCATCCCTGGGGAACGCTGAGGGCCAGAGCAGGGTTTGCCATCCTGGAAGGTAGGTTGAGCGTGTTTGTCTTTATTTATTCTCCAAGATAAATTATGGGAATAAAAGGGGAAAGGGAAGAAAACCTAGACACTAGAAAAAGGAGAGGGCAAAAGGGAGCAAAGTAGGAAGGAGAAAAGAGATAAAGCACACAGGAAGGAGGAGGCAGAGGGCTGGGCTCTCTGACTGCTTGGGAGTCGCCCTGGTGGCAGAGATTGCCAGCCCCTCCCCGGCTGCCAGGTCTAGTCTTTCCTGAGGACTAGATCTCAGAAATAAGAGTGATGCTCAGTATTCTGGGGCTGTAAGGCACAAGAAGGGTTACTTCTTGTGGAAGAAAACTTCAAGAAGTCCCTAATTATGTGCTTTTCAGTCCAGGGGAGGAAAAAGGAGGTCCTGAAAATGCATTGGAGATGCAGCTTCTGCAAACAAAATCATTCTACTGTGGTGTCAGGCTCACTCTTTGAACTCAGATCATTCTGGAGCTCTATGGATTAAAGATGATCAATATTTGCTATTTTAAAATTATATCTAAAGTAGCAATAAAGTAGGAAAGGATTCCAAAGAAGAAACAAGCTTGTAGAAATAAAACCTGAAATAATAATCCAATCCAAATAATATCCTAAAGTCATGAAACATGGTAGAGAAAATATTTGCGAGAAATCAGCTAAGCACATATTGTTTGTGGTTACAAGAAGTTTTTAGATCTTCTATGTGTGCCAGAGATAAATGATTAAAAAAGGAACCCTAAAATACATGATACAGTCAGCCACTCTTGCAGGAAGCATCCTTTTACTACAGTATGGGCCACAGACGAGGCTGGTTTTCCCCAGTTCTCCAAGGAATGACTATGTGAACAGGATAGGAAAGGATTCTAGAATTGGGATTGTGTAGGTTCTCCATTTTGCATACCAGGAAGGGTTTTCTAGGCTCTGTGCTGCTACTTTTCTCATTGTAGCAACATCTTAGGTTCTCTATGATACTGAAAAGTGGGGTCTAGTCCTGCGGGCAGCAAGGCAAAGCAGCTGCGGCTGGCTTGAGAGCTGCCTTCTCTACAGACTTCTTCAACTTCAGTTCACCCGCTTCTCTTGATCACTCTTTGTTCCCACTGAAATGACCTGGCAACCGTTTTGCACGCTAAGCGCTGACAATGGCTGCTCCATGGCCTAAAGGGATTTTCCTTTGAAGATTATTTTCTAGAAAGGTAGCGGTTGAAGACTCACCTTCAGAACTCGCTTGTGCTCTTTGGGTAGAACCTGAAATTTAAGGTGTGCCCACTGTAGTCACTGGACACTCCTGGGATCACCACAGGGGAGCAATGCAAGAGGCTGTGTGCGTCTCCCAGGACAGTAGGGCAGAGGCCAGTGTAGAGCCTGTGATCTTCAAAGTGGCCCTCTGTAGCTTGGGGTGGGAAGACATGGCACCTTCAGGACCAAGCGTATGCTGGGGAGAACACCAAGTGGGGTGTGGGTGGTGGGGACAGCGCAGTATTGTGGCTAAGTGGAAGTGGCTTAGAGGCAGGTAGTTCTGAGTTTGAGCCACAGCTCTTTCACTGGCTCTGCCAGGTGATTTTTGGTAAGTTCCTGCATAATTCAGAGCTTCAGATTTTTCATCTCATACATGGGGATTCCAACGGTATACCGGTTCACTAGTTCAATGTAAAGTTTAAGTAGAAAGTATGTGTAAAGGCCTATCACAGTTTGTGGCATTAGGAGAACTCTGTAGATAAGAGGCAAAGGAGAAACAAACAAAATCTCAGGAGAAGGACAGTGTAGTCTCAAGTTGCTTCAGGACCGCTGTTGCTATTTCCCACCTTTCAATGGGCACAGACAGGAGCGGAGAATGAACTGCATCCAGACCTGGGAATTTAAGCATCTAGGACCTTGTGTCCAGGGAATCCTCCAAAAGTCAGCTCCAAATTTTAGGCACAGATTCCATGCGGTCTTAAGGGGTAGCATAGACAAATAGATCTAATAAACAGCTGTGCAGCTTTGTGCTCGGTACTAAGGAATCAAGATATTTTTGGGTGCTTTGCAAGGTGAGTGAAGGAGTGATTTTCAACATGTTTTAAGGCATCCTTAAAAAATATATTCTGTTATGGTGTAAACCTTAAGGTGTTGTGTTTTTATATAGCTACAGATACTTGTATACTTAGAGATCTCAGAAATAGCAAACTGCTCAAATCGTGAGGCACCTACGTCAAAATCTAGTACATAATTTTAATATAGTTTAACTTGTTCTGAAATTTGCAAAAGAGTACCAGCTGAGTGTCCTCAGAAGACTGTGTGTTGAGGGGGTGGTAAGGAAGTGTGGAAGGAAAAAATCAAAGCACAAAGGCCCAATGTGAATAAGAGTGAATTTAGAAAAAACAATCACAACCAAAATATTTGACCAAAGCACTTTGAGATAAAACAGAAGCCGCATATTGTACTGCAAAATAACCCTTGGAGGGTCTTTTTACTCAAAGGAAATGAATTTGGCTTCTGTTCTGGTGTTAATCATTTAAAACAGTCCCTTGGAAATTGTTTCACATCTTTCCACCAAGCCTGTAACAGGCAGGTTACAAAAGGAACCCTTTGCAGTCGGATTACTTCGTGTGCCACAGAACATTCTGAGAATCGGCAACAGAAAAAATGGAAGCGCGACCACACACATACCTCAGTGAACAGACCATCGCTGGGAAGAAGAAAGGAAAAAAAAGAAAGAGAGAAAACAGAAGGGAACACTTGAAAATAAGTCTTTGAAAATCTATTTTTGTGTTTTCCATCCTGCCTTTCCTGTCTCTTTCTTTAAGTTTGGGGCTGGGCAGATAGCTTAAAAAACAAAAGAGTACCTGAACTTTCCCCTCCTTTATTCCTGCCTTTTCTTCCAGAAGCACAGACTCAGATGAGGAGGACAGGTCATCACAACCCTGACAAGGCTTACAGCACAACCACGGGGTGCCACGGGGTCCTCCTGCCTCCTCTCCCTCACACTCCGCAGGATGGACCAGCACGGTGTCTCTACCTTAAAATATTTCAGAATCTTCCCACTTCTCCCTCACCAGCCCCTTCAGCCCCTGGGCCCAGCCAGCGTGAAGACCCCAAGAACCGTGTGGCTCGTACGAGTCCCCCTCCTACCCTTACTCTTTGTCCCCCAGGCTCCTCTCTTTCTGGTGCCCTTAGAGACCCGTAGGTCAGATCATGCCACTCCCCTGGTGATGTCAAATCCTGCAGGGGCTCCTCAGGTCACAGTCAAAGTCAGGGTCCCTACAGCGGCCTCCGAGAGTCCACATAGTGACCTTCACCCACACTGCCTTGCGTTTGTCTTCTACTTTTCTCCTCCCTCATTCTGCTCCAGCCCCAGTGACCGCCACACCGTTTCTTAACAACTGTAAACTATCCCACCTCTGAGCCATGTCACTGGCTGGTCCTTCTACCTGT